CGCCTCCAGCAGACCTCGATAACCCAGACCTCTGTCAGCCCCTGCGTGCTGGCAGAGTACAGCGCAGGTCCCAGCTATGGCCTGCACTCCGATGGTCTGGCTATGCCCGTCTTCCTCCACGCTGAGCCGTCACCACTTCCGGTTCACGCGTAGCGCAGCAGCGATGTACACGGTACCAACTGCCAAAAGCCCTGAACCGATGTGCCCATCCTACTTCTAGCCTACACCGACCTAGACCCGACTGACTGACCGACCGGTACCGTATCTGTTTCGGCCTCTCGGCCTCTACCGGACCCGGCTATAGGCTATAGGACCGTCTATTCAGAATAGGCCCATAGGGCCTGTCTGTCTAGGGGTAGCCCGGGCCTGCTATCCGCAGTTAGGGTAGCTGTAGGGAATCAAGTTAGTACCGGGCCTGTATTTTCCCGGATTTGCAGATATGTCCCTCAAGAATTTCCCTCACAGGTAGGTCTCTCGGTTAGCCCTCAGCCAAACAAAATTACGAATCTGTCCTACCTATAGTACAGCCTCGACAGAGAGAGGCTACAGAACCAGAAAACAGCAAGTCATTGCAAATAAATGTTTTATTTATTATTTTTACTTTTTTATTTTTTATTATTTTTTATTATATATATATTATATTCTATTTGACGATATATACGATATATACATATATATCTATTTGACGATATATATATATATATTTTTTTTTTATTTTTTTTTTTGCTCACCTGGCGCATCTTCCACAGCGCGCGCACTGTGCACTGCGTACAGCACACAGTGCGGGCGCTGGAATTCCAGTGCACAGCGCACTGCGCACGGCACCGCCCGCACTGCGCACTGGTGCGCCGCAAGTATGTATCACAGTGTTCAGAAAGCAGCATTGCACCAATATAACACCAATGGAGAATCGTAGTACTGAAAGTCGACGTCAATGAGAGCTTGCACTCGCCACCACCAACATATGTATCCAGTCTGTATCTCCCTACTTGGCACTCGGTGCCCAGCCTACTCCCTACACAGCTACTATTAGCCTACTAATTGACAATGCAACTGTTGACGTCAGCAGCCTCCGAAGTACTTGAAGATGTCGCCCATGCAGACCATCGCCAATACCAGGTATGAGCCCTCACATCATCATCATCATCATCCTTCTCTCCCTCTCTCCCTTGTCTGTCTCCCACGTCTTCCCTTTGTACACCCGAAGACCACCGTTGCGCCTCACTGTACATCCAAGCCCGCCAGTTATGGAGGCTGGGCTATGGCGCTGCCATCAGCAGCGCCCTGCTCTCTGCACGACTGCACGTGCTTGCACCTCGCCGCTCAGCGCTAGCAGCAGCCCACGAGCTTCAGCTCCAGCGGCGCTGCCGCTAGCATGCGAGTGCCCGAAATGAGCCGCCAGCCAGCGAGCTCTTTCCTATATGGAAAAGAGCTGGCCTGGCTTCGCAGCCTGGCTGCCCTGAGCCGGGGCCCAGAAGTTTCCGGTAGGCCCCAAGGTGCTGCGCCTCTGGTGCAGCTACTGGGCCTCATTCGGTTGGGCCTCCCAACTGTCTGTGTATGAGGCTGCAAATCTCGCCCAGGGCCTGTGCTTTCGGAAAGGCCTAGAAGGCCTGGGAATTTCCACGCTGCTCGGCCTGTGTTTTCCTTCAACCAACTAGCGCGCCGAAACTGCCTGGACCCCAAATACGAAATTGACAGCCAAGGGCCTCTCGTGATTTGTTAGGCCCGCCTTCACTTAGGGCGGGCACATTTGTAGCCGGGGCCCCTTAGGCCTGCCGAGGACCCAGATCCTCGCAACAAACTATGTCATGCAGAATTGCAAAGCAAACATCTTTTGCCAAGGGGTGACCACGAAATTCGGTATGGAATCCGAAATAAAAAACAAAAATAAAATACTAAATTATATCATATCCCTTTACACCCCTTTAAGCCCCTTTGAGCCCTTTCGAGCCCCGCTTATACCCCATAGACACCCTTTGATGAATTATCACCAAACTCAAAGATAAGGCCGGATTTGGGCATGTCTCAGTGGCCGCAAAATTGTCCCACTGCCAAAAAAAAAAAAAAAATTGACCCCCTTTTTGGTGTTGGGTACCCAGGGCGGGTCACCTCCTGCTCAAGTTAGCCCGGGTTGCCCGGCCGGGCGGCCCAGGCAAGGTGACTCTGGTAACATAGCAAAAGATACATTACCTTGCCAAGTCCACAGCCCTGCCAGTTAGGATCAATTACTACATCCCAAATTGTCTGCATTCAACGAAAAAACAAACAAACAAACAAGCAAACAAACAGGAAATTCAGGAAATTCATTAGCCAGCAAAGCACAAAAAGTAAAGCACACCAAATCAAGATCAAGAAGCTTGACCAGGAAGTTAGCAGGGTTCACCCGTTTTCACTTTGTCGCTTTCGCCCACACACCTCTCTGTTTCAATCCCTCCCTCCCTGCCTCCCTCTCTCCTCACCCCCTCCATTCTTTGTTTACTGTGTCTTCAAAGTTCTATTTTCCCAAGGCAAATATAAGCTACTGAAAAAATGTTGTTCCCTAATGAAATTGTTTCCTACTGAAATTTCTTCACCCAGCATAGATGATCCATCTGCTTATAAGTGTCCTCTCTTTATAGAGTCACCTTGTTTCGTTATTGGTTTTTGGTGAAGACACACGTTCTGATTAGATCTTTTGTAATTAATTGATACAAGATGAGGCAGTGTGGCTTCGCCCGCAGGAATTAGCAGCTCATCGCATTATAGACTCATATAGACTTAGTGACTCTCACAGAGTTTGTGCGACTTTTGGCCCATAACAAAGCAGCTTAGTGCATGAAGGACTCAGACACTCTCACGCCCACCGGACAAAGTCGCTAAGTGCATGACAAACTTAGTGAGTCTCACATAACCACAGCGGCTTCGCAACATGACACAGTAAGTCATCCGCTCGAAATCTAAGTCCAACCCAGGCGAACAAAGCATTTTCTTAAAAAAAACGAAATTAGAGAGACAGACCAAATATCCTATATTAAGCACTTGTATAACCGCCTCCCCCTATAGGTCTCCAAATCCTACCAGCCAGCACAACATTGGCATTGCATCACTTTCAGCACTTCCCTAGACTAAAAGCACCATGGACACTTAAAATTCTTCTGTTTTTCATTTTTGCTCCTTTTATTTGAAACTCGTAGCCGCCCTCGTGCATTCTAGTCGTTTTTATAAACTAAGAACCTGTCTTTATTTTGCTCCTTTTAGATTTAACTCATAATTGCATCATCGTCACTTAAGATTCTTTTTCTTTCTTTTTTTTCCCCCTCTCATTTTAAACTCATAGCAGCCCTCATCCATTCGAATCCTTTTTAAAAACTGAGTACTCCATCTAGTGCAACGGCCACTCACATACTTACCACTACTGATTCACTCAATGGCTGACACAATAACAAAAAGCAAATCTATGTGACTTACACAGACACACTAACGTACTCACACAAATACTGAATGACTTGGTGATTCATTTCCCCACTAACTGAGTCACTCAATCACTATCTGACAAAGCAACAGATACACACAATGAAAAAATCATCACATGTTCACCAATTACTTCATTCAAATTCATACAACACGAGATTCATTGTTGAATGCAACGATTCGTCCTCTTAGCATCCATGTATGCATCATTCCATTGACCCCCAAATCAAGGAACGAGTCAACCAATGCGACCATTAGTGCATCGAACCACTGACCAATTAACCTTCTGAAGATTCGATGCTAAATCTATCAACGCACACACAGATGCACACACAGGCACCGTTGATGTGCGCAATCATGCACATACACACACACCATTCACATAAAAGAGCACACATGCGCACCCAAACAAACCGTCACCCACCCGCCACACATACACAAAGACACAATCACTTTCACATTCCAAAACACACACAAATATGCCCAAACATATAATTCTCGAAAATGCGATAATTGATTCATCACTACACTCGTTCATTAGTTAATTGCTCACTAATTAATCCATCTGTCAGTCAGTCACTCAATCAAACTGACAATCATTAAACCCATAAAAACATTTGTATGCATAAAAACACAGTTGCCACAAATCCAAACGAGAACTCAAATTATTAATGCGTCTTAATCCCCATCGTATACGAAACATTAAACCATCAAAAGATAGTTTATCGCACAAAGAATGAAACAACCAAGTAACCAATTATAGTGCGAGATGACACATCCAAACCGCAATGCAATTTCAAATTACACTCGAGCCACATCGCATTAAAAACACAGATCTCTAATAAAACCCATTATTGACAAAGAATGTCGGAATCAATGACCCAATTAAATCGTAAAAATGTTGTATCCACAAATTATCATCTGACTTTTTCCCACATACCAGCTACTCGAACTGGCCTCCTAGCAATACCCAACACTCTATCAATCGGTCTCCCTAATTAGATAGACGATTATTAACAATGGTTTTACAAACTACTTTCGACACAAAGCTTCTATCACACCAACACCTACCGTGATCACCAATCAAAAGTACTCCGCAAAATCCTAATCCAATCTGCAACCACTAAAACCATGAATCTCACATATGTACATGTGTATCAATTTCTAACGACCTAGTGGTAAATAGTTTTTTCACCGGACTACTCTTCACGACGTTCCAAATCTAACTCATCCTCATCCCCAATATCCTCATCATGCTCTGATCCCTAAGAGTCTCGCTCATCATCCTCACCACAGTCCCCACCAGAATCACCAGCAGATTCTTGATCATCATCTCCCCGAGAGTCACGGTCATCATCCTCACCACTCTCATCGTGAGAATCAACAGAAGACTCGTCATCATTACTTTCCTCCCCATCTTCAGTATCACACACATCATCCCTCACATCTTCCTCAGACTACGGATATTCACCAAATGCTCAGTCTAACTTCTCACAATGATAATCTTCAAACTGTCAAACTGTCTCTTGCACGGTGCGTGGACTAACAGGATCGTTTTCCTCACCATTGTCCATCAACTCTTGCACTTTATTCCCATACCGCTCCATCTCCTCACAAAAGTAATCCACCAACTTCCTCCTCTTCTCATATCGTTCTTCATTATGACAAACATCCAGCGATCGCTTGCAAGCTGACCTCAAGCCTCCTTTGCGTAATCCTCCTAGAATCGCGCTAACTATCCCTTCATCCTTGCTTTCGAATCCTTCAGTGGCCCCTTCCAAACAATTTCATTAGGTCCGTTGAAGTTTGAGCTTGGCGCCATCACGAACCAAAACTTGGATACAACCCAATGGAAGCGATCAAGTCAAGCACTGAAGTAAACCCAGACGATGAAGATGCAAGGGAACCATGCTCCCTAGCGCTCGCAAGCAATTTCGCCCTATACGCTTGCGAAGAATTCACTCTGGCAGAAGAGGACGAAGAAGACACAATACTCGCTTGAAAACCACCGCAGATATGGAGAAAGGAGATGGTAGACCACAGCCTGAGACCCACCGCCAGCAAGGCGATGGAGGTCGGCCAAAGGCAGTCGGCCACCCGCGTGGGAAGATTGGGATTCCAACTGTTTATCTGGGCAGTGTGTCAAGGTATCTTCTATTGGATGTCCCATAGCAAATTAGGGTGTCGGAACATACCCCTGTTTTTCCCTCGGTCACTGCCAAATTCCCCTGTTTTTCCCTCGGTCACTGCCAAATTCTAACCCCCTTTCTTAGCCCTATGGAGCCAACGACTGGATAATTTCAATGGGCCGTGATGTAGTACATTTCCGATGATTTTTCCCCTAGTTCTGAACGAATGGGTAACTAGTTGGAAATGTGTGTGCGAGGCCTCGCGCGGTCCGCCTTAGTCTGTTGAATTAATGCAGAATAAAATCATCAATTTCACAAATTTAATAATAAAATTAAAACATATGAGACAATTAAAAACGATGAAAAGAACCCAAAACAACTTATTATTTTTTATTATTTAATATTTTATTTACTAATTTTATTTCTAATATTTTTATCGCCTTATTATTTCAACCCCAACCCTGATAAAAGACATGCATTTTGTGAGTCTGATTCAACACCTTTATTCAAGTTGTTGCGTGTTGCCAGGGTCGCCCCATGTTGTGAGCTTGTTACTTGTGACGTGGGGTATCCTTTTTGTCGCGCGCTAGTTGCTGGGTGAGGGTTATTGTATGGGCACGAGCAGCAAAATTTCCATGACCATTACGACATTAACCAACTGGGTTATCTTGACTGATCACAGAATCCAGTGCTACTGATTCGCAACCTGATTACAACAGAGGGTCAGGTTACATCAATTCTGGTTACTATGATTGCCAAGCTAACACCAGTTCTGGCTATGGTAATTGGCTCACTAATCAATTCTAGTTGAAATACTTTACTCCGCGGTATTAGATCCGGTTACGGCAGTTGGTCTAACGACACTTATCTGGGCACAACAGTTGGTTCATTGGTACAAACTACACAGATTCGGTTCCGGTTACAGTTTCTGGTCCGTGGTCTGGTTTCTTCTCAAGCGGTATGATTCTGTGGGAAATCATTTTGGTATGGTTCCTTTGCTGAACCTATCACTCAAGTACTGCCTCGGGACCAATACAGACCCTAAGGTCGTGATACATCTCTTGTTCATGGCCATACATCAGGAAGTACTCCGATCTGCTGATGTTTGATTACCGGAGCTGAAGCCTTGGCCTTGATGAAAAGTTGTGGCTGGTAGAAGTCCCAGGCTTGTAGCCCTGGTGTGCCGGACCCGCCGGGATGGCGGTCCGTTAGGATGGAGACGAAGAAGGAGGTAGAGATGGAGCTGGAGGGGACAGCGCAGCTCCGACGCAGACTCCACACGCAAGTACTCCAAGATCTGCGAAAGTGAAGAATGACGAAAAACAGACTGCAGCTGGGGTATACCCCCAGCGGACTGACTGGACTGGACTGGACTGGCCTGGTACCGACCGTGGTACCGGGCGGGACTGGACTGGACTGAAACAATATACGGCCTGTGGGGTCAGGCCACGGCCTGGTCCCACAGGCCGAACTGGCAAATAGCCAAATAGGCCCTGGCTGTAGGCCGGGGCAGATGAAGGCCCGCTGCACCTGGTACCACTACCTACTTTCCACTTGAGGCCTGGGACTCCGCTTGCAATCAGACTCGTCTCATTTCATGCACGTAAACAGCAGCGCAGCAAACTGGCGACCAGCGCCCACTCAATACTCAGAGATATGGCTTCC